TCAGACCAGAAAACTTGATCCCAAACTTTCGCTACATGTCAGCTTTACCCTCATAGTGACTTATCTTGGAGATTATATCGGCTGAGAAACGATCGAATTCACTACGGTTAGAGACTGTTACGACAACAGTCTCATTGACTACAGTATGGGAGCTCGCCTTCACCTTTACCGCGGGCATGGACGAATACCCAAGGTCAGCTTCATCAGTCGAGAATGATGCAGTGAATGGCTCGACCGTCACACCAAAGATCAAGGGATTGTAGAGAGTAGAAACGAGTATGGTGTCCAAGCAGAAGGCGGCACTGGCAGCACAGTCCTTGATATTCTCCCCTACAATATCCATCCTATTCACAGAAAATTCCGAGTCGTTTAGCGCCGCCTCGGCAAGGATGGGAGCAAGAATGAGAATGAATAGAACCAATACCAGGAAGACAATCGCAAACATAATACAGCAAACACAGCATGCGCATCGCTTGCTAAGCCGACAACACCAACATGCTTTCGGCGTCACTAACAAGGGCTCTCCGCTGTTCAGCTGATATAGCGGTTGAGCTCGGATTGGATATTCTCTGCGATAAACAACATAGGTCGAGTTCATAAAAACAGATTACTGCAAGCTGATCCTACTACAATAGAACAGGTTCGGGAACTGGGAGCTCCAACCAAATACATATGAGTTATCAACATGCGCAATCATGGCATCACAAGGCAAACTGAAACGAATCTAGATTTGATTCAAGAATATAGTTTAATCAAAGAAGCAGCTATCAACATGTGGATATCAGTTGACTTGAAGATGTTGATCCAGGCTGGGCCCGAGGTCTGTGCATAGCCTGTAAGACCTTGATAATCTATCACCATAAGAGGTTACATTAATAAACTTCAACCTGCCGAGATATATCGCGTAGTAAAGGGTGCCCGTTCCCGATTTGAAGGCTGCATCGAAGACCTAGAGCCGATAGTCGCGGAGGGTGTTGGAATTGTTGGCAGTACCCTCCTTGGCGAGCTCCATATAGTTCAACGACATCTACCAACTTTTGTTTTCGAGGTCAGGCCCCCTCGCTACAAGGCCAATGAAATGTTCAGTGATGATAACGGATTCGAGTACCACAGCGACTATAGACTAGACAGAGACTCCACAGGGACTAGAAAGACCATACAACCGCAATGGGGAAGATCTTTATAGACGTTCTTTTCGGACTTGGAATAACGTTCGCTGTCCGGCTGGGCTCGAGCTCATAACACTTGTTCCCAGTATACAAGTCATGCCTGTCTTCCCGAGATCCCACCCTTTCGAAGTCTTGCTCCTAGACCTTCCAAACTTCCTTATACCTCTGGTTGAAAGTTTCTCGCCATCCAAGTCATCTGCATTGAGCCTCTTGCGGAGCTGTACTGTGGTATATCATGGGCTTAGATCTTATAATGGAGATTGGCTCCGACTTGAAACATCGTCGGGCGATGATAAACTACAGAAACGAAGACGACGGTGAAACCAGCATTAGGACGGAATGCATTGAGAAGCTGCCCGTATGTGAACGAAAGATCAGACCCCAGATGATGAAAATTCCACAGTCATATATCGTTGCAAGCACGAGTTCCGATAGCCGCTCAGCCCCTCACCCAAGTACTCAGACGCGCTAGTTCTGGCGGAGGATTAGCGAAGAGACGACCTACTGAGGCAGCAAATCCCATCATCCCGCTCACCCCAGGACTACCATCCAGGCCACGCAAGGCCTGCTTCACACTTCCAGGAACGTCTGTTACCGAAGGGGCATAATCAGCATGCCCAGGCAACTCGGTGGAATGGAGCCTTGCAAAGGTAACTTCATATCTATTTGAATGGCGTATGAAATCGAGCAGTGAATCCAACACTCGTATCACTCTCGGTCTTCGGCCTCATCTTGATCGTCATCTTCGTCATCATTGAGCCTAGGATTGAGCAAGGAATTCCCCGGCTGCTGCTCTTGTTCGTTGAAGCCCAGGAGCTCAGAGATGCCCATGAGAACCTGCATCGATCCGTAGCCGCATAGCAAGCTGACTAACAACGGCTCACGGCGTGCATCATCTCTCCATTACTCTGGACAGTTGAGTCACTTACGAACTTGACCGCAGAAAGTAAGCAAACCTATGCACAAACTCGTATGAACGAAGCTTGCTGAATAACCACATACCTTTTTGTTCTCCTTGCTACCCATATTCCCCTTAAAAGCAGGCATCCACAGTGACTTAACAACCATAACAGACAATCCAGCCTGTATCTGCTCCAGCGTTGTAATCAACATCTTAGTGCCATCCGAGACACAGTATCTGCGAGACAAATAATCCTTAGCACTTCAAAAAGTGGTGCTATAGACTATAGCCTATAGTGATACGATGATCGTGCACTTACACAAACACACTGAGGGTAATCGCAAATCTCCGAGTCAAAGCAGCCGTGCTTTTCTTCTGCAGCTTCGTCAGGAATACCGTGAATACACTAGCTAAGGAGCTGACGGAAGGCCACGTTTTGACGCTAAGTGAAGCTCATTTGAGATTGCCTTACTCCTTATAAACACCAAACGGCAGATACCGGAACATTGCTGCAATAAGGTCAAATGCCTGCATCTCGATCTTCCGATGATTGAGAACCTACTTCACAGCATTCCCACTTCACCAACTATCGTTTCAGCTACATATTGGAATCGGAAGAGGATAGTCTGCAAGTTACGGGTGATCTGCTCCCCGAACTGCGCATTCTCTTTGAAATACCTGAAATTGAGGATCCTGACATTATCGCTGTTGTACTGATATTACGAGGTTAAAAGCCTTATCAAGCCAGGTACGTTAGCGACGGTCCTCCACAGGCTATCAGTGAGTAACCTGGAAACATCAGCCTGAGCATACATGAGAAGCTCGGCGTACACTACCGATCAAACAAGGCGCCATATATCTGCGGTCCTGCTGCGGAGGTAGAGCTGTCTCCAGAATCAAGAAGCAAACCGAGTATTTGGAAACAGTATCTGTGCATCACCCACTCCCTCAGTATCCCCATCCACCCAGCTCAGAGATACGCAGGATTGCTATACTCAGTGTGTAGACCTCAGATGAAGAGTGGAGGATATGCAACGTATTCCCTTGATAATATTACGGAATGAAGTCCGCAACATTCTGTTCCAGGATGAAGCTGATGACAGGTAGCAACGCCGATTCGACCTCACCATGTTGGGCAGGGGCAAACTGCAGCACAGTATGCACCTGATGACAATCAGTCACTCACCACGGTTATGTGCGTGTTTTTACAATAGAAGCAATCGCCTCGAAGAGATAGTGGTTGAAAACCGCATCGCTGGGGTTTGCTGCAACCACACGGAGTATCTGATGGACCGATCGAGAAAGCCCAATAAAGCAGGGTGTAGAGAAGAAATACGGTCAGCCAGACAACAGCACCGGTTCCCAAGTCCTAACTAGTACCGTTGCTAACTGCCTTAACGTTGGCAATGCAATACTGAGTGCTCCTTCTCTGAAGGTCGAGAATACACCTGTTGAGTGACGAGGAACATAAGGCAAAGCTGAGGGGTTAGCGAGATAGCGAGCTGCACCACTCACGCATGACGAGTTTCATCTCGTACGCAGATTGGCTGCCGCCTGCAGCTAGTATTTGAAGACAGGGTTCGACAGTTGGCAGTATCTAAATAAAGACTCGCTCCGTCAATCGAACGGGGAATCATGCCACCGTCCTACATTCTGTTTGAGTGATTCCAGAGGTATTTTGTGTTGTTTATTAGGTCCTTTGAGAAGCAGGAGAACAGTCAAGCAGTGAGCAGCGTATGTATGGAGTACCTTGCAGAGGGAACATGATCAACACGACCAAGCTCGCGATAGCTAGAATCCGAAAAATGGTCACGCGGTTTGTCTACGACGTGCTATGCGATGAACATTACAGTAACAGGTGTTCGAATATGATTCGCTATGAGCGGAAGTGCACGGCTAAGCTGCTCGGCAGGAAGGTGATGTCGAAATACTGCGATATACCTAAAGAAGGCGGCACAAACTCGAAACTATGGATAAGATGGGCCGCTCAATCCTCAGTACTTGAGAATGCTGGCTCTCAATACCGCACGACTAGCCTCCCTTTCCGAAGGTATTGCTTGTGAGAGCTCGGGCAACAACTGCTGCTCGAAGAAGGCGGATACATCGACAGCTGAGTTGACTATCGATACTCCTTTGCTTCTCGTCTAACAATACACACGATGAGGGCGACCATGAGAGCACGGGCCCCCATACCTGAGCCTTCGTTGCAGTTGCAATAATCAAGTACACACAGGCATCCCTAGCTCTCCAAGCATCTTCTGTCGTAGAAGATCCAACCGATTGCAGGAGCATTTGAACATACCGGACGAGGATATCCGTCACCTGAATCCATCGATCACAGACTCAAACAAAACCCGATCCAGGGTCAAGCCAGTATGGCCACGAGCAACGGTTGGTAGGTGAACGCTTGAAATACCAAGTAAACTAACATGAAGCTTACATACCCGGCCGCACACGTGGAATAGAGATTGCTAAACCTGACCCGTATCACCTGCTGATCATACAACTTGCTGAGCCCTTTCACCAGTTCCATTGCTGCCCGTCGTCGAGTATCCTGATCTGCACTCTCCATATCCCGCCTAATATACTCCTACAGAAGTCCGAATTGGAATATTTACTGAATGTGATACGTTCCTTACAGTGGGGTTGTCGAAGAAGTCTTCAACATCACAGTCTCGGAGCTTGATGTTGGGTAGAACTACGTGCTCACAGATAGCCTGAGCAAAAGTTCATACCACAAGTCACAGGGAGCGATAGGCACCTCCTTACTTGGAGAGAATTCGCCTCTTCAAAGGGGCTTTTGGTCCATTTAGTACTAGCCGCACTGGATAAAAGTTTAATTCCTGCTGATACCTGATAGAAAAAAAATCGACATGTAGGTTCGGCCGCATTGCGACTGCCGCTTACAAGCTGATCATTGCTCCCGTTAGGACTCGTTGAAACAAGCAAGGTCCATACGGATTTCACTACGCCGCAGATGTACCTACAGGGAAAGAACAATACGATATGGTTATATGAAATGAGAACAGTGCCGAACGAGAACGATTGATTCGTCCAAGGCGCCTCCCACGTCCCCCCTATTACGGTTCCACTTGCTCTTGGTACTTATCAGCATATAGAGCAACATTCCTGCACACTTGGGCTTTGAGTTTCTCGATTGATCCGGGAGTCTCATCATCCGGTGCTTTGAGGGCTGAAGAGAGTCAGCTCATGGCGAAGCACGTCCCATCATTGAGCGCAGTGATGGCCACGTGTAAGGGATAAGAAAGTCCCTCCGACTTGAGACGCCACAAGAGACTGTTTCGTCGTAGACGCGAGCAACTCGTCATCCACGAGTTGCTCCCTACTACCAGCCGGCACATCCTGCCATTCTAACAAGCGCAGAAATCCCTCGAACCAAGTGGCCGAGTTGTCTTCGTAATACTCCTGAGAATGCGAAGAATGGCGGAGCGAGGGCGATGGAACTCCCAGCTACCGGGATGTCGACAACATTGAGGTCATAGAAGATCTCAAGCTCGACAACGAGGAGTTTGGCCAACTTCACGCTTTTCGTGGCTTGACCTGTCAACGCAGAGTGCGAAAGAGTCTATTAGGAACTACCAATGCACTACTTGCTTCCTTCAATGCAGGAGAGAAAATCTCTTGCATTATTCTCCTATAGAGCGCCAAGTGGACCTACATGGCAGATAGTCGAGTTGTTCGATCGAGATGATCAAGTTGAACGATACTCCAAACCCCGGTCCGGGAAAGACTACCTCCTGAAACTCCTTCAAAATATACTGCAATTCCCTCAAAACTTCGTTGGATCTCCCCAGATACCGGTACCTGTCACGGAGGACTCATGAGATTTCAAACCTGCGTTATCCGGGATGAGATGCCCATCTCCACAATCGGCAGCCATGCACTAGCTACACATGCAGATCGAGTCGGTAGATGCTTACTTGTCAAACACAGTGGCTGCGGTCTCCAACGCTCCGAACTGGGCATCGTTGAGGTCCTCACCACATGTCAGCCGCTGTACGAGGGTTGGCAAGAGCGTCGGCCAACCAGCAGGGAAATCTTACAAGAGTATATGTATATCTTGTGAATGCTACGATATATATGAGAGTACGAGGGGACTCTTACCAAGGTCGCTGATAATTTTAATGCTCTCCCGAAGCTGAGCCATGAGGGGTGCTGGTACAGAGAGCATCAGATCAACGAGGTGTGATTTAATCAGGTTGCGGTTTTCCTCCGAGATCCCACCATTCTGGAGGGAAAAAAGGCTATTAATGATCCGGATTAGATAGAGTGAAGGCGATAGTACCTCATCAGGAGATTCCGGCCAATGCCTTTTGATGAAGTTTTTGAAGTATATACTACTTGCCAGTCGCACAGGCAATTGTTCATTACCATTGGCTGTTAATTGCAACAACGAGGATGTGAGCACACCGCCCGCAGATTCAGCCTGCAAAGTCGGAGAAAACTGTCACCAACGATGATCGTTAGGAGTCACACTACATAGCCCCCTCGCGGACTCGTCCGTAACCCTAGGATACTACCTGCGTTAGTTTCTCCTCGGCTTGTCGCCGAACATTAACGTCAGGCGACAAAGTGGCAGCCATCACCTGCGACAATTCCGTCTGATTTACAGCCATGTGAAGGAAATTATTAGACGCGTGCCGGCCAAAACCGCTATGTGGCAATCTGATACAAAACTTGTTGTCTATCGAAATGTAGTAGGATCACTCCGCTTTACGCAACAAATAATGGGCGTCGGAGGAAAGCATTGGACACCAGAAAGACGTGCAAAGATCTTACAGAAAATATCAAAACAAGACAAGGAAGGATGTATCATGAGCCTTTAGATCCACGCTGAGAAGTTACGAGAATCTTCAAGAATCCAAGTCGTGAATTTGCCATGTTACAACAGAAGCGAAGTTAACAATCATGTCGGTACGACAATACGCCCTCTCCGCGGTCCTTCTGTTCGCACCAGCGGTATTGCGCGGTCATCGCTCTACGCTGACGTTGATCCTGGGGCTGCTACTTTCTTATTCTGTCTTCTACTTCGACGGATCCGAGTACAGACCACGGAGCCGGTAAGCAGCAAGTTTTCATGGTCCGTACGTTAGAGGGCTGAAGCCTGTCTTCTGCAGGTATTGGCCGGAACTTTTTGTTCCTGGCTGTCGAGTATATAATGCGCTACTAAGACGGCTCTTCACTAAGGTGTCGTTCATCTTAGAGGATGCGGACGCCGTGAACTCTCTCCCTCAAGTCGTCTATTGTGCTCATCCCCACGGTGTTGTACCTTTCATCCATCCGTTCCTAATCAGTCGAGTAAAGCACAAAGTATGCCCTCTCGGCGCGAGAGTACTTT